TGAAAGTGTCTCTGTGACACTGATCAGCAGAGTACAGGAGAGTATTTTCACTTACTTGTTTTGGTATATGCTGGTAGTTATCATACATCAGAACCCCAGAGACTGATCATCTCTGGTAATGCTTCTCTCTAGGATCAGACTGAGGTGAGGTACAACAGAGCATTTGAAATGTTTGCATGGAATAGTGAACTTGTTTCTCTTGTGTCTTGCAGTTGTAAGCCTGCTAAGCACAAAACAGAGAAGCATGGTGAGCACAGACAGGATCCATATATAGTTCTAGGTTGCAATTTATTTGTTGGCAAAGCACATTTAAGGACATGTTTGCACTTAGACATTCTTTCTGTGTTTTGCACCATTTGTCTTCACTTGTCTCTGTTGTGTTACTGTTTGTAGAACCACGCCATAACTGGATTTCTGAGGTAGCTTGTCTTTGCTGCTGGAGATAATATAACATAGACACACCTTGTAAGGACTCTAGGACTTCATAAGGTGTTCATGTTTGTTAGTGGAAAGTTTGCATCCCACAGTCCTTGGTTCTTCACTGATAGTGCTTGAGGCATGCCCCTCTTGCTCTTACAGGCTACATCATCTTTGACTTTACAGCTGCTATTAGATTGTTGCTTTGGGTTTTTTTTTTGTTGTTTTTTTTAAAAGATTGTTACTGTATTCTAGTTTGTCTTATATTTACTGAGTTTTGTTTCCCATTGTCAAGAAGATGAGAATTTATATTTTAGAACTTACACTGACTGTGTGAGGCTCCCTTTCTGTTTTTTCAAGAGTGTAGTTTCACTCTATTTTTAGCATTCTCATCACCCAGTGTGCAGATTTTCATCTCTTCTTCATATGACAGGGCAGTGGTTGCTAATGCTTAAAATGCCAAGTGCCTTGGTTTCCTGGAAGAGCAAATTTTGTTTGTTTGTGCCACATGCAGACCCTGAACTTCCTGAAGAGAGGAGGATTATGGTATAAGATTGTGAGTTTAATCCCAGACTTGCATGCTTAGGACGCCAGCATGTGCATGCATGCAATTTACCCAGCTGACCACGTGGGTAAAATGTGGTTTGTGGTTGGGACATCCACGGTTCAGATAAAGTGTCCTTGAAAGAACTGAATTTTACTGTCAGTGAGCTTGTGATCTTGGCTTTACTTTGTGCTTCCAGACTATGAAGCTGGAGGAGCAAATACTTTGGTTTTGGTAAGATTTTGCTTTTATGGTCCATCAGGAAACACAGACATACTATTTTCTATGAGCAGACTTTTCCATTTTGGCTAGCTGGAAGTGAAGCCCACATTTAAATATACTTCATTTTAGCAGAGTTCCAGGCACAATTCACTAACACTTCTGATGTTCTTAAATGGTAAAAGTAAGCAGTTGCTGAAAATAAATCTGTATTTACAAATTCCATATGTGTGTGCTTGAGGCAAAGTTTTACGTTTTATAGAGTTTTTTTTTTGGTTGAGAAAACTCATTGGCTGTAAAATCTATTAGTTTTTTGAGGGACTCCATGCTTCTGTTGAAAGGGATAATTCAGATTATATATACTTCAGTTTCCAAAAACATGTTCACAGCCTATATTTTTTTAAGAAACTATGCTGGTAACCCACTGTAGACTTTGTTTTCCAATGCCTGCCTAAAGCACAAGAAGAAAAGTAGGTATAAATAAATAGATAAATGTTTTTTTCCCAATAAGAGGTATTAAATCCTGAGCTGATAGTTTCATGCTATACCAAATAAATCACTGGAGTGGTTCCTCTTAGTTACTTGTACTGAAACCTCTGATAACAAACTAATTCATAAATGGATCTAGAAGAGGGATAGGTACTGAATTTGCTGAGAAAACAAAATGGGATGAAAGAATTGCAGAGAGATCATGTACTAGAAGCAATTGGACAATAAAATGGTATGATCTAGGGTAGGGAAATGCAGAGTAATAAGTTTGGGGGAAAATAACCCCCAGAGTAATAAATATGGGGGAAGAGTAACACCCACTATCTGTACTAGTGGGTGGGCACAGTATTTTACCAGTTACTGTCACTCAGAAAGTCTTTGTTGTCACTGGAAATGTGATGTCAGTCTTCAAATTTAGTCAAGGCAAATAGAAGACAAAGTATATTATGAAAAGGAGCAGAAATCAAAATTTAAAGCATTACTATACTAATATATAAATATATTATAAAAATTATAGCAGGAAGACAAAATGGAAAGGAAAAAGTATAGTGCAATCTGTTACCTGTTTGTCAAAACACACATTGGGCTGCAAAACCAGGAGTTACAATAAACAGATAAAGTGCATTATTTTCTTGCCAATCTCTGTTTAAATTATGCTGGACAACTTATTGCTGTAGTATTTTACAAAGGGTTCAAACAGAAATGATTGAAAAAGGGAGAAGATGCATTTTAGGAAGAAAGGTTTGTCACTCTTCTCAACACAGTGGTTGTGTTGCAATGTGCAGCATGTTTCCTAAACCCTTGCTAGTAGGAAACTGGAAGAGATGTCAGCTTGTCTTATTACAGCCCCCTTGCTACCAGCCAGGGGGGAATGAGGTGTCCAGCTGGATGGTCTGACTCAGGAGGTCAGCTTGTGTTTTCAGAACATTAAATTTGCTCTTGTGCTCATACTTTCAGGTGTCAGAAGGTAAATATTTTTAGCAAGCTGAAAGAAATCAAAGAAATATTGTAAGGACAGTTACTCTTGGCAGCCAAGTCCTTGGAATACTGCTCTGATTACAATATAGGCTAAACACGGCATTCTTCGTAAAAATTTTTAAATTTATCTGTTAGGGTGGTTTTGCATTTAAATAAAATATACTCTTTAAACGAGTGTTTAGACAATGACCACATGCTTTAGTAAAACTCTTTATGCAAATGCAAGCATTTTATTCTTGCTTGTCATTCGTTATCTGCCTCTAATATACAATATCATTATACATGTTGTGATTTTTGTGCTATTTTAGCTTTTAGGTAGCTTCATATGACAGAAACTCTGTTAGAGTGGTAGAGGTTAGTTTTATGTCCTGACTTTCTTCTCTGGATGTTTTCTTTATGCTCATTTTCTCTATCAAAGTTGCAGGCTTAAAATATGTAAGCCTATTATCTGTATTGGAAAATGCTATTTAGAAACTGTCAAGTTGCTTATGAAAATAGTTGGTAAAATATCACTGTAGGTAAACTCAGTTTCATTGATATAAATACTGAGATTTTAAAAAATCTTTACTTTTCTAGATAAGATTGATGAAAAAGTTTTTGGCTGGTAGTCCAAAATTTGCTCTAGAAAATTAATTTTACTTCTTATTGAATGAGATGAACTGTGGGTGACAAAAAGGAAGAATTCAGAACAATCAAGACAAATTCTGCAAGACAATGTCAAAAATAAACTCAATTTCTGTAACAATTGAATATGACTACCCAGGCTATTTTGTTTATCCTAAGTTCTGGGAAGAACAGAGCAAATACAAATTAAGAATTGAGAAGAAAAGAAGCATCATAATTATGCAAAGGGAATTTAATTCATTTAAGGTAAACTCCTGAGTACTTTTTTCATCTGAAGCGATGCAGACTTTAGGAAATAATCCAATTTATGGAACTGGAACACAGTATACCAGAGCTGCATTTCTGTCCTTGTCACGAAATACTCAAATATAGGGTTCCAGCAAAGGCAGCTCAAGAGGAGACATTCAGAGAGGGGGTCAAACTAATGTGTGCCTCTTGTAATGGCTTGTGCAGATGCAGCACACAGCTGGAGTGCTCTGAAGGGTATTGCCAGCATTTTTTGGTTTGTCATAAAGCACTTGTATGTTATTCTTGCTCTGCCTTATCTTCTTCCTTCCTCCCCATACATTCCTGTGTTTATTACCAAGGTCCTTTAAGGACTTGTAGGTATTCCATTTTGTAAGGGAATTTTATTTAGCAATGTCTTTTCTTTTAAACTGCATGTTCAGTAGCAAGACTTGCTTCTTGAGTAAGGAGATAGATAGATAGATAGATAGATAGATAGATAGATAGATAGATATGCAATGCTTAAAAGCTAGAAAAAGTAAGGATACTGTTCTGGACTCAGAATCTAATCTTTCCTTTTACAGCCATTGGTTGAATGTTTGAAAGACATAGATACTGATGGGAAATAATTAAATAAAATTCTTAGTAAACAAAAATCTTACTAAAAGCTTGACTTACTTTGAAAATTGCATGCTGTTCCTGTTTAACATCACACATAACATTTGCACACACGGTAGTATTTTGAGCAAAATAATTTGCCCTAACAATAAAGCTGAGAAAATGTAGAACAGAAAGGCTGGTTTTTTTTACTTAAAAGCCTGTCTGACTGTGAATAAGCAATTGAATGCATTGAGTAGAAAAAGTTAAACTTCATTCTATGCATTCTCTAGTAAGAACAGTCATCAGTTACTCACTGCCCGATACTTGGTAATCCAGGCAAAGAAATTCTCAGTCATGTTGAGAGAGATTTTAAATGGGATGTTTAAAAATGAGAAATAATGTTTAGACCTCATTAACAAAAAAAAAAGCTCTAAATTTAATTAGCATGAGAGATGAGTATATCACACCACTTAGGACTGAAAATGTAATCTAACAGGAACTACAGGAACAGACACACCTTAGAAAACCTCAGGGCATTTGTTTAGAAGCTGACTGATGTACAAAGAAACTCAATGTTTTACTTTATTTTTAAATACCTTGGGCATTCATAATACCTTTCAGATTTCTAATGTTGTCACATAGGAAAAATGAAGTTTGGATAGCCAAATCCAAAGATCCTTGTCCAAGATCCTGGGACAAGGGCTGGGCTGGAAGTGCCAACAGAGCCTCTTGCCACTCAAACCAGTGTGTTTTGCTTTTTCAGAACTGCTGAACAAACACTATTTTCTAGTATTTTTTCAAAACCTATATAGGATTAAATGTAAGCCCCAGTGATGAAAGTTAGTTTTGATGCTTTGAATTATCTTTTAAAAATTGCTAACCAAAGCCTTTTTCTTCCCTGTAGCCTTTCCTTATTCTTATGAATCTTCACTGTTCACCAGACGTCCACACATTTCTGTGCAGAGCCTTTGTCCCAGCCTGCCTAGATCAGATTCACGTGATTCACCCCTGCCGAAGCCTCTGTGAGAAAGTGTATTCTGACTGTAAGCAGTTGATGGACACTTTTGGAATTGCATGGCCTGAAGAGCTGGAATGTACCAGGTATTTTTCATATTGACAGGTGGTGGGAGTGGTATTTTCATGTTTCACACAGACTGAGTTGAAAATCTGAGGCAGACTGTTAAATATCACCTCGCAGTAATTTCCTTACTATGCTGACCCTGCAGTGCTTATGCATGGGACCATTTCTTTATTAAAACTTTTTTGTTATTCAAATTATCATCTGCATTTTCTGCCTGTGACAGTTTTTGCCACAAAGCTCTGCGACAGTTCTTTTCAATAATCACATCCTGGCAAGAGGTAGCTTTTTCACTGTACATTTCTAAAAGTTTTAAATATTATATGTTACAGCAGAGATTTTGCTTTGGTTTCTGATCTCTAAACTAGGGATATGATCATGCTTACTTTATTAGGGGTTTTAGAAGTAACTGCTCATAAGATGATGGAATGTAGAATATTCTGTATTTCAACAGACCCAGAACATTGCATAGTAGAAACTTTCCATTGCCCCTAACTGTTTAAGTGTGCCAACCTAGTCTTGTGTTGCTTTTCCTGTACTGCCTGCCAAAACTCCCTTTTTTGAAGTGTCACCTTTTCCTCAAAGGTGTTCACATGTCTGTTTCAGATAGAGGACAATTAATACTTCATTTGGGGAAAAGATTTCTATATATTTTAAATGGAAACCACTGGAAACACTCCAATGCAATCTTTTTGAGATTATGACCTCCAACTGTGGATATTTATAAATTATTAAGGCCAGATTTTTTTTTGTTTGTTAACACATATCCAGTCAAGAGGTGCAGGAAAGGAGCAGAGACTGGAAACTCAATTTTTAGCGGTTGCTAATCTGTGATGGGGCTGAGGGAGAGCTGGGACAGTTGTCCTGGGGATCACTTCTGGTAGAGATCAGTACTGGAGTCAATATGACAAGTGACATTAATGCCATTTCCCATAGTTCTTCAGAAAAATAGAAGTTGTGGAGTTTTAAGACAAGGAGGCATTAACTTCTCCCATCTTTTGTGGGGTTCTATGTGACAATAGTGCCCATCAGCCAGCAGATATCTTTAAGGATTATTTTGAAAAAGTATGACAATTACAAGTGAATCCAATTATTCAATATATCTTTAAAATGACATTTAAAATCAAATTATGTTTTTTGCAGGATTTAGTGCAACTTCAAATTATTTTAATACTGTTTACTGAAATGAACCTTTCCTGTTCATATATGAAGTTATACCTCCCTGGTAGCCAGTACTGAAAAGTTCATGTTCTGAGAAGTCCAGGATGTTGTTAGAGCAGCAGAGATCCTGCTTCTGCAGCCCATGGAGGAAGAGCTGGTGTGAGCATGTAACTGAAATACTGAAGTCCACACTTCTGTATTCTTACAGATGAACATGAAGCTGATTAAGACAATGAGTGAATGAAGTTCACTCTCTTTCCACATGCACTGCTCCAGCCTGTGGTTAATGAGAGAATCTGCCACAGAATCAGTTTTCTTAACAATTAGTCTGGATTTAGTTGGACAGCGTGATAGGCAGTAAAACACAGAACTGAAGGAGTTTTTAGCTGGAGCTGAGCTTGGACACTGAATTGAGAGGCTCTTGTAATAGTGTTTGACAAAGAATGTCAATGTAACAGAATTACACTTTAAAAGCTAGAATGCAAAACTTGTTCCTTTTAATGTACATTTAAACTTGGAAGGCCTGTGACCATCAATCCCATTTTGAGTAAATGCTTACCTGCTTGAGTTACATAATCTTATTTGAAGATACATCCAGCACTACTAATATGGTAGTATTATAAAAAGATCACATCCTGTGTCCAGTTAAACCCTGGAGCAGTTTTTAAATTAACAGCACAGTGCTAGAAAATTGTGACAATACTAATAATTTTGACAGTGCTTGCATTACTTAGGTTTTTTTTCAGTTAGTTTGTTTATTGTTGGTAATGAAATAGCAGTACAACACAAAAAATTCTAATAATCATGTACTAGTCATCAAGTATGATGTCTGTCTTCTTCCTTAATTGGAAGCTTGTATTTTCACAAGATTTTTTGCTGTCACAGTCAGTTATCAAACATTTTTAAAAAATATATACTCTAAATATTTTATGTGCATATGTAAAATTTTACATAATAATAATTTTAATTTTAAAGTGTAGAATGATTGCAATTTGAGTAGTGTTTCATAAATTATAAAGCAACAGCTAGAGAGCAACAGTTAAATGCAATTGAAATCTTCTGAAATTAGAATAGTTGAAGTTTGGATTTTATAATGTCATCTGATTTTTTTTCACATCATTTCACATTTGCATCATCTATAAAATTTAATAGTGCTTAGGATCAGATTTTTCTCATATTTATAAGAAGTGATTCTGATGTCTTATCAAGGCTGACCTAGAACAGAGGCTAGATAGAGTTAAAGAATAAAGCAGGTATTTATTAGAAGGCCTCAATGGATACACCTTGGGCAGCACAAGAGCCCAGCCAGGGCTACACCCAAGATGAACCCAAAATGGTCACAAAATGGACAACTGGTCACGAGGTTTCTCACTTTTATAAGTTCTGGTCCATTAGCATATTGGAGTTAATTGTCCAATTTTAGATTTAGGTTATGAAGTCTCATCCTTCTTGTTTTTCTCTCTTCAGTCCATGTTGTTTATGCTCTGGGGCCTGAAATTTGGGTAGTTGTCCTTGGTTCCAAGCTAGGAAAGGAATTGTTTTTGTCTAGCTGCTCTGTGAAGAGAGCTTACCATCTCATAATATGAAGCTCAGAACTACACACTAAAGCAGTAAAGAGTCTGAAAAATATAAAAGCTAAAACCTAAGGCATCAATTCTAGTTGAGGATGAGGGCTATTGAGATATTTCCTCTTCTCTTTACTTATTCAGGTTAATCAACTGTGATGAGGCTGCTCCTGCCACTGCTGCTGTAACCACAAACATACATGGAACTCAGAAGACCCCAAGCCAGATCCGAAGGGATTATGGATTCTGGTGTCCCCGACACCTACACACTACCAATGGACAAGGCTACAAGTTTCTAGGAATTGATCAGTGTGCACCCCCATGTCCCAATATGTACTTCAAGAATTATGAATTGGATGTGGCAAAAAGTTTTATTGGAATAGTTTCAATCTTTTGTCTTTGTGCTACACTGTTCACGTTCCTAACTTTTCTGATTGATGTTAAAAGGTTTAGATACCCAGAGAGACCAATCATCTATTATTCTGTCTGTTACAGCATAGTCTCTCTAATGTACTTTATTGGATTTTTACTTGGGAACAGAACTGCCTGTAATGAGGCAGATGAGAAGTTAGAAATTGGTGAAACAGTTGTTCTTGGCTCCCAGAACAAAGCCTGTACTGTCCTTTTCATGGTTTTGTACTTTTTCACTATGGCAGGAACTATATGGTGGGTGATTCTGACCATCACTTGGTTCCTTGCAGCGGGAAGAAAATGGAGCTGTGAAGCTATTGCACAGAAGGCCATGTGGTTCCATGCAGTTGCCTGGGGAATACCTGGTTTTCTAACCATTATGCTCCTTGCAATGAACAAAGTGGAAGGGGACAATATCAGTGGAGTTTGTTTTGTGGGTCTCTACGACCTGGATGCCTCGCTGTACTTCGTGCTTTTGCCGCTGTGCCTCTGTGTGTTTTTCGGTCTCTCTCTCCTTTTAGCTGGCATCATTTCTCTGAACCACGTGCGGCAGGTCATTCAGCACGACGGCAGGAACCAGGAGAAGCTCAAGAAGTTCATGATCCGAATTGGAGTTTTCAGTGGGTTGTATTTGGTGCCTCTTGTAGCCCTTCTCGGATGTTACGTTTATGAACTGGTGAATCGGAAAATCTGGGAAACTACTTGGGTGTTTGACCACTGTGACCAGTACCATATTCCTTGCCCTTATCAGGCAAGTAACGTTTTCCTTTATAAATAATACTGTAAAGTTAATTAGCAAAAACCCTTATGCATATCTGCCATGCAATGAGTAATCAGTTCAAAAACATGGAGTGATTAGTTCCTTTTCAAGTCAAAAAACAATGGAATATTATTTTTGCTTTGAAAATTTTAATCTAATTGGTAGCATTCAGCAATTAAATTCAACTTGCAGCTCTAACAGAATATATAGCTTTTTGCAGTCTTTGAACTTGATGTTACAAATTGTGATGGAGGAGGGTCGTTCTTCACAATATTTGTTTCTGAAAGCATTTGCTTAGTACTTCAGTGCCAAGCTCATTATCAAAGTACATAAGTTGAATTTTCATCAATTTTGGTTGAAGCTGAAATAAGGATTCTTAAAAATTTAGACTAAATTGGATTTTAAATGCTGCTTATAACCACAGATTTAGAATCACTTTTTTTTTTCTTTAAAGTGTAGAAGTGTAAACCATGTGAAATTACAGAACAAATTTCCCATATATTTTTTTCCACAATAGCTGTAGTTTGCAGGCTGATTTTCAGAAATGCAAAGAATTCTTTATTAAAAAAACCAATCAAAACAAAAAGCAAATAAAGAAAAAAACCTCAACTAAAATTGTGGAGGTGATTGTGTTTAATATTTGCCTCTTAAGATCCAACTTCTTTGGAAAGACTTTTAAATTAAATCTGCCTATGTTCAGTAGATTAAATTTTCTGCAGTTGCAGGGAGTTTTGTATACTGACAAGTATTATTTCTTTCTATTTAAGAACAAATATATAAGAAGACAGCATCACTAAAAAATGCAAGTGTCTTGTGTCATCTTTCATTGCATTACACTTCCCATCTATCTTTTTTGCTGCAATAAACTATCATTAAAAATGAGGAATAGAAATACAGGCATTATTGAATGATCAGAATTGACCTTTTTCATTCTTAAACACCATTTAGTATCCTCTGGATTGAAGTCAGTGTAGGCTGAGACCAGCACAGCTCACAGACTACTTAGTTATTTTGGCTTCCAGTGCTGTTTCTTAACAAGTGTATTTTGACTTCAGTGGGTTTTATTCTGAGCCCTGTATAAACCTAAATGCTTCAGAATATACAGGTTTGAAAACAAGACTTTTATGCTTTAAAAATAATCAATAAATTTGTTTTGTGGTGCTTAAATATAACAGCTTGGCATAATAACACAGAGCATGTATTTTTAGCCTTTAATTAACCCATTGGAAGGAAGAAATATCAACATTAAATATTACACAAAGATCTACTTTATGGGATCTGTCCCTATGATAGACAGCGTGTGCTAATTGTGGAATAGCTCAAAGTGGTGTGCTTGGCCTTGGCTTATCTGAGCTGGCTTGTAGACTTCTGTTACATTTGCCAGATGAAAACCAAATAAAACCAGACTGAAGTAGCTAATGTTACCTGGCTAACAAAAATAGTGGCTTTCATAGATGGGTCTGGCAGATAAGACAAGTGGCATAAATTAAACTTGCAGCATGACTGCTGAAGATAATGATCTCTCACTGGGTTAAATGTCTCAGCTCCTATGATACAGCTCTGCAAAGAGGTGGATTAAATTTGCAATAAACAGCTACTGTGCAGTTCCCTGCAGCTCCTTGAAGATGCTGTCTAATCAGATTAACTCCCAACTAATCCTTCCAGAACCTGAAGGGAGCCTACAAGAAAGAGGAAGAGAGACTTTTTACAAGGGCATGTAGTGACAGGACACGGGGGAATAGCTTTGAACTGAAAAGAGAGTAAGTTTAGATTAGGAAGATATTAGGAAGAAATCCTTTACTTTGAAGGTGGAGAGGCACTGAAACGGGTTTGCCACAGAAGTTGTGGATACCTTATCCCTGAAGTGTTCAAGGCCAGGCTGGAATGGGGCTTTGATCAACCTGGTCTAGTGGGAGGTGTTCTTGCCTGTGGCATCTGGGATGGAAGTTGATGATCTTTAAGGTCCCTTCCAACCCAAACCATTCTGTGATCCACTTATTGTTTCTTTTAAGTTGAAGGGATAAATCTTTCATATTTACCTCTGGAGAACATTTTTATTAATACTATTACTCCCAAAATTACGTTTCCTTTCAATTTAAAAGAAAAGCAATTCCTTCTGACAGATCTCTTCTGTGTGTATATTCAGCTGAACACATCTGACTTGTCTGTACATGTCTGATGTTTGTCCACAGTACAAGCCTCAACAAAGAGCAACAGTCATAAGGAGAAAGTCTCTCATTTAAGAAATGTATTTGTTTTCTTCATTTAAAAAAATAAATCAATGAGTATATTTTCTTCTTTGCATTTATTAAATTTTTTTATCTTCTAGGCAAAGGCACTAGCAAGACCAGAAATATTTTTGTTTCTGATGAAATATTTGCTGACATTAATTGTTGGCATATCTCCAGTGTTCTGGGTGGGAAGTAAAAAGACCTGCTCCGAATGGGCCAATTTCTTCAACAGAAACCGCAAAAGAGAGTAAGAATTTTTTTTTTCTCTGTTTTTTAAAGCGTAAACTTAAATTTGGCTTTCAGACATGTGTTTTTATATATAGCTCAGATAATCAAAATGTTGTCCTCAGACTATAAATGCTGCTTTGAGCATCAGCAGAATTCCACTGGAATCTGGGGAAGTTTTAAATATGCACTGACCCTTTAACAACAGTCTCAAGAAGACAGAAAATATTTTCCTCTGCTGATTTCTCTTTTGTAGAGCAGAAGGTGTGTTGCTGTGTTTAGCATTGGCTAATACAGATCTGGTTCACAGTCAAAGGAGGAAAGATAGTATCAGCCATCAGTTTAGTTCTTTTCAGGTGTTGTGACCACCTCATTTGACACAGTACTTAGTACTATGTTTACTGTCATGCAGTAATAATATTCTCTTTTCTCCTCTGCCAGGCTTGTCTTCTTTTGAAATTAATATTCATTGAACCCTCCTTACTACCACTTTTATTGCATTAATCTAGTGTTCCTTTTTTTTTTAATTAAACAGAAGAATTCTGTTTTATTACCTAATTTAAGCAAATTTATATCTGTGGATTTAAATAGCTTATAAATATTGTCTCCATTTCTTATAGTTGTTGCTTTTTTCAATTCTTTTTTATGTCTTGATTATGTCTTTTAATTAAACAGAAGAATTCCGTTTTATTACCTAATTTAAGCAAATTTATATCTGTGGATTTAAATAGCTTATAAATATTGTCTCCATTTCTTATAGTTGTTGCTTTTTTCAATTCTTTTTTATGTCTTGATTATTTCTTTTCAGATTATCTGTTACTTATAAATGATATTGTGGCTTTAGATAATTTTGTTTCTTCGGTTTGCCCAAGGCAGTAGTCTCTAAGGTCTTTTTATTTTACATCTCCATTCCTCAATGGTGAATCTATAGCTTCCTTTCCCTCTCCCCTCTTTTTCCATTTCCTGTATAATTTTTGCTTGTGTTTCAGATGTCAATTGCTTTTAGCTACAAGGATTTAAAAACAATGAAGTTATTTTTACAATGCTAATATTTTTTCATTTGGAGGAGGTTGACTCTATATAGAGTTGGTAACGCAACTGCTTATGAGCTAATTGTTCTTTTCTCTCTAGTAGATCATTAATTCACTGTAGTCATTGGACCTATTTGCAGAAGTAAGAAATGTAGAAATCTGCTTTATTTATTTGTTCCACAGACAGTTACTTTGGAGCCGTTATGATTTTTCCTCCTCTTTTCACATATAATTTTTTCCCTGTGTTCATTAACACCCAGCTCAGGTTGCATCACTGGTTGCTATTCTTTCAAGGTTTTGTGTACTACTCTTTATTATATTATAGCTAACATTATCCTCTTTGTTCAGTGATGTGCTTGTACTCTCTTCCAGTCCAATCAGCGAGAGTCGAAGAGTGCTGCAAGAATCATGTGAATTTTTCTTGAGGCACAATTCCAAAGTTAAACATAAAAAGAAGCACTACAAGTCAACTTCACACAGACTGAAAGTCATTTCAAAGTCAATGGGGACCAGTACAGGTGGCACAACAAATCATGGAACTTCTGCAGTAGCAATCACTAATCATGATTACTTGAGCCAAGAAACTGTGGCAGAAATTAAAAGCTCTCCAGAGACATCTGAGAAGGAGATGGAGGCAGATGGAGCATCCGCCCGAAGAGTGGAGGAAGGTGAAACCAGCGGAGATCAGATGTTCCCCAGTGCTAAACTGACCGTGGATCAGCTGGAAAGGAGAAACAAAGCAGACAGCACCTGCCATATGAGTACTTTGGCTGAGAGTATTAAGAGAGTAGGTGAAGGAAGGTAAGGCTCCTGAACTCAGTGTTTTCTTTGTTTCTACATATTACCACTGGTTTTGTTGGTGTTCTGTTTCTTCTCTCTGAAGAATCAGGGTACTCTCAGGATGCACCTGACCTTCAGTAGCTGTCAAGAGAACTTGCAGACTGTGGCCATGTATGTTTGGCTTCTGGGCTGTTTTGTATTCTTGTAGGGTTCTTCTTTTTCTTTTAAGCATTGTGTGCTGGAGCTTCAGCTTGTAGGATATTCTTGCCTTGCTGAACAGTGACCCTCAAGAAACCTCTGTCTGCACTGCAATCACTTTGAGAGGTGATGAGTCTGAAAAAGAGCAATGATGATTGTAGGCTTGGAAAAGTGTACAGAACTCTACTGCATTCTTTTGAAAAGAATACAGCTGAATATATATTATGATTTCACTACTCAATTTTTTCCCAGTGTAATGGAAATTAAACTGTGCTTAAAAGTTACTGTCTTTTATTTTTCTTTACTTACAGAATAACTCCTAAAAATGATTTTAGTGAATCTCCTTCACTGCAAAGGAGCTGTTCCCAAATACCTGATGTCCCACAGTCACCTTCCATATCACTACTTGTCTACTCAGCTTCAGACACCAGAAGAGAGTTGGATTCAGGAAACAGTTCTAATCCTTGAAAGATGGAAAATGTATATGAACATTTGTATTGCATAAGACTGAAAATTTATATGAACATTTGCATTGTATAAAACTGACATGAGTTCTTTGTTACACTGGAAATAATGGATATTCTGTGCCTTATTAAAAACACATATATCCTGCTTTGCACTTAAAAATGTATGTTTTGTTGTGGGGACAGCTAGCAATAACGTACTGTATTTAATCCTGTCCAGGACTAATGGAAATTGAAGTTCTGTAGGACATGGCAATAATGTAAGAAAAAGATGAGAGACAAATATTATTCCTTATATAAAGAACACTTTGTAATGAATTGCATTAAAATAATGCTTCAAAAGCACTGTTACTTCTCAAGGTATAAAATTCCATCTGCCTCTTCAATATTTTTCAAAACTTGTAGTTTTTTCTCTTTTTTACTGTCTCTTAAACAACAGTATCACTTAAGTAAGTGATGCACAAATTTCTAAATACTCTAAATGATGCATCATGTTGTATCAATTATAGCACTGGTTCATGGTAGCTTGTACACTGAATATGAAAAGGAATCTGAAATTATAGCAGTTTATTTTGTACATAAAAATGAATTTTGTAAATAAGTGACTGCATAAGGTCAATCTTTAGAATTGCTCTTTTGTATGTAATGTACAAACTTGGGAAAGTTCCTGTGTTTCCCTTAGGGTGTTGCTGAAGCCAGCAGTCCCCTGGTGATCAGGCAACGTGACACAGTTCTGAGAAAAGCAGGCTGGACCTTTACCCATATCATGCACTGATGATTGGGCTGAGACAGGCCCTGCTGCAGGGATGCTGCAGAAGGTGCAGCTCTGTCTCACAGAAATGCCTCCTGGAGCCTCTCCTGGCCTGGTGTCCCAGGGCATGGTGACAAAGGGGACACCTCAGACTCCTGGGCTCAGTGGGCACAGCCTGATGTGCAGGCTTGGGGCTTTTGTCCTGAGCTGCAGTGAGAGCTCATCTTGTGCTGTTTCTATGTGAGTAACTTCATTTTTTAAAAAATGCTATAAAGAAATATCTTGCAGATAACTGCTGTGAATAACTGGTGAGTTATGAATATGCAGGTTTCTTTAACAATCTATTTACAGAGAAGACAGCCTTAGTACTTTTCCTCCAAAATCTAGTTTTCTACAAAGCCTAATTTTCTATTATGCTACAGCAATATATTTTCTCTAAACCAAAAAGGCCTTAATACATATAGCCTTTCTTATGCTAGGTGGTTCTCAGGAGCAAGTACTGCTGATGTGGATGACAATTTCATTGTCTGACTTCATTTGAGTCAATTTTTTTTAAGAGCCAATGGGGTTTGTTACTTGAGATAATTTGGAGAGAGATTTTGCTGTTTTCTAAACCTAAATGTCAGTGCATTTTGTAAAACTGTCCAGCATCTTGCATTTGACCACTAATAAGAATGTGTCTCAATGTTATGGTATTAGGCAGAGAATTTACTGTGAGTTGGGTCAGCATTCATGGTGATGCATTGAACAATGAAAATTGCATGGTACAAAGGACATGTAAATGCTGGAACAACAGGAACTATGTTCTGATAAACCAAAGTTATTTGTTTTATCCATCATGCATTAAAAATGAAATTTCTTTACCTTTATATTACAGTATCTGCATTTTAGCATTTGTAATTTATTGCCATCAATGGGATATGCTCTTTCTTTTAGAATTTTCCCATTAAAAGTACACAGAATTCTTGCTACTGAGTGGGCAGTAGGAAAGATATGAAAAACCTCCTGTGAAAAGGTGCACAAAATACCCTTCATTTTTCTAGTTCTGTTTGTAACCAGGTAACTTTATACACATGTTCAGTAGTTTTGTTATTACTGTATTTGTTGGTAATAAAATATGCTGTTGTATAGTATGAGCTTCTGAGTGGATATTTCTCAGTAACTAGATGTGGCATGTTTGTTGCTCTACCCACTACTGTAGTACTTTTGCACCTAAAACACAAGTATTTTTTAGTAGGGCTGTGTGAGTTAGTAAGTATTGCAATGTTTTTATTTCTCCTGTGTGAGAAACTGAGACAGAACAATGCTGGAAATTGTTCTCATGAACACAGACTTATGCAGGAGTAAGGAACTTGAACTAGTTCTTTCATCCTAATATTTACAGCATCTTTTCTTTCATGACCTCTAAAGACCTCCTTTAGATTATGTAGAATGTGTATTTCCAGACTGCTCATGCTGCCACCTTCTTAAAATACTGATTTTTAATTCTTAGTGCTATTCCCCCTTTTTACGAAGCTCTGGAAAAAAATTGGTTTTGTGGTAACTGCTCTACAAAAAGTAAAGTAATTTTGAAGTTACAGCAATACTGTGGGTTTAAAAATAGGTAAATTATCAAAGTGTGAATTACAAAGCAATAATCAAAACATTGAGTGGCAGTGAAACTCATCAGTGGTAGATTGAGACTGTAGCACTTTGTGTTCCAGGGCAGCTGCACCAGAAAAAACAGAATTCCCAGGGTGATCCTTGCAGGCAGAGGCTGTGCCCTCTCTGGGTGCTTTAACCAAGTCCTCAAGCAGTGAATGGGAAGTTAAAGTTCTGTTTGAATGCTCACAGCAGTGATGAGGAGAAGGAAACTGAGAGAAAAGGGGCACAGAGATGAGTCAGGGCCTGGAAGACTGACTGCCTTATGGTGAGGGGCAATGCAGAATCTCAGAAGCAGCTTCTCTAACAAAAGGTATTTTTTTGTTTGCTTTCCTCTTGTTATCTGAATGAAGTTAAACCATTCATGTTCAAAGGGCATTTCTGAACCTGTGAGAATGACTTCTCCCTGGGAAGAAGGGAGCTGATCTCCATCAGCTGAAGTTGTTTAATGGAGGCTAGCAGTCTTCTGGAAGATGTGCTGTAAATCCAGCTATTTACACTGATACAGCCATTTTAGTCTTGTTTGCTGCCACTGTTTGCAAGAAGCTAGATCACAGGATACTGACAGCTTCTCCAAACCTGGAATTATGTGTGCCAAATAGTCTTTCTCTGAATGAAGATGTCATAAATCTGTTCGAATTATGCATTGCACTGAGTTTTCAGGTTGCATAGAAAATCTTTCAAAGGACAAGATAAAATTAGCATATCAAATAATACTTGATTTGTGAAATAAACAGCACCTGAAATTACCAATATGGTACTTTTATGGTACATGTTGTTTATACTGGATCTTACTGCTCTATTTTGCCAAATGTGTTTGGTGAAAACCAGGGTAGACTTTACCTAGGGTGTAAATCTATGCATATAGTTGAAAAAATAAGTCTAAGTTTGAAAATATAAAGAAAATAATGTTTGTAACATTTAAAATGTGCTATTACCAAAGAAAAAAACACAAAAACCTGCAGTTATTTAAAACTTACTGATTTTTTTTTAGAGTAAAAACCCCAACAATTCAGTGATGGAGCACTAAGAAGCTGAAGTATCATACAATTTTCTTTGACAACTGTTCAGCTGATTTACAGAGAACTGTAGCTCCTTTTTCCTTACAGGATACAGAATATATTTGGTTTAAACAGTCAAATCCAGTTGAAATTCAGAAGCAAAATAGAAAAAAAAGTAATATGAAAAGTTGAACTTCTTTAATAAGAATAAGTTTAGCATTCTGCAAAATGCTGAAAAATGCAGTAGCTGAAGAGAATGAAAATCCTGTTCTGCTGTGGAGTTTGACCACCCAGTCTCAACGTGCTGTTTCAGAAGGCTGCACATCAAAGGACAGATTCTGCATCCTTCCTTTCACACTGGCCACTTGTTGGATCAGTCTTTGAAGGCATCTGGCTGCTCTCTGCCTGCATTCACTGGTAAAGCTCACTGCCAGTATTAACCAGTGGTATTTGCAGTAATTGACATGGCTGGCACCAAAGGTATTTCAGAGTCTCATGAGTATAGATGTTATTTCCTGCAAGTTTCTTTTTTTTTTTTTTTGCACTTATTCTTTCATGCCTTTACACTTATCATACTTGTACTTTTTAATGGACTGGAGTTTAATTAAAGCAACTTATACCATGCATTCATGAGCTTTCTGCTTTGTATACCTAGAAGTGGAGCTCAGAATGTATTTCTGATGTATGTCTATGAAATCCACTTCTGTTTATTAACTGGCTTTTAGTTCCTATTGAAAAGCACTTGAGATTAAAAGTATAATCTTAAAATTATAAAAAAAAAAAAATTAAATTATAATTAAAAACAAGCCAGGACCTTTATATCTGAGCTCTTTGTTGTTAATGTTTATTCCCTGCATTTCAAACTTTGATCACTGAAACAAAATGTGAAATAAAAGTTTGCTTTCTTTCAAGTTTTATTAGTCGAAATAAAGTAATGGCCAATGAGGTCTTTAAACAAATTACCTTCATTAAACGGGTCAGAGCTGGTTTCTTAGCAGACAGGAGCTGAGAGGAGAGTAGTTCCTGCTGTTTGGAAGAAAGCACTTTTTGTGGAAGTGCTAAACAGGCACTCAGTGCTGGGTGGAGGTGATGTGGAGGGACACTGACTTCCCTCCCAGAGAGCACTCTCGTGTACAGCAGGATAGTCATGAGAGAACATCAGGTATTTTAAGGGGAAAGGTGTTTTAGGACTCATTTTTGCCATACAAGGTGAAGAGAAACAGCAAGAAGACATTTTGTTGCCATTGAGTAGGTTTGTTAGAGAGGTGAGGGGGGGATGATTAGACATGGCCATCAAAGGATTAACAGGAAAAAGGATGTTCCATGTTGGTTGTGTATGAAGGACTAAGAAGAGAATGTGTGTCCCCGTTATCTTCCTGATGTTCTACCTTACCACATGAAACTAGATCACAAGAAATTAATAGTTAATTATTTATCAGTTGAAGGCTTAAGCTCTCTGGGAAGCATTCCCTCCAGACCCAAATCCAGTAGTATCATACCTACTATCCAGGAATGCAGGTAAGTCTTGAATGACTGAATATGGAGGCTTTGAGGAAGCTGAAGCAGTTGAGCACTAGGTTTGAGTCACTGGTGTTGCCCACTGGACACAGTCCTATCTGGGACTTGCTCTCCTCCTGCCAGATTCCTACAGGCATGGCTGTGATCCAGACTTCCAAGTAAAGAACAAGTGGATGCACTGCAGGGATAAATAATCTAGACATATGAATCTGTGAAATGTGGAGATGTGGCACTGATAGGTGTGATGTGCCAGTGGGTGGATGAGATGCAAATGTGTTTGGCTGGCTGAAGTCAGGGCTCACCATGCAAATTAATTTATTTTTCCTAAGATTATCCTGAGGAGAACTTAAAGATGCTGATAGCTGTGATGAGGTTCTCTATGGAGAGAAATGGACAGTCACCAAACCTGCAGGAAAAGCCAAGAAAGCACACATGCATACACACACACACACACACAGACAAAAGAAAAAAAAAGGAGGAATTTGCCTTTTAAATTAATATTACTTCAACAGCATTTTTAGGGCACAAATCCTGAAAGTTGCTCTACTTGACAATGGGAAATGATGGACTCATAAATCAGATCTGTAATCAACCAAGAGGTGCTGTAATTACAGCAAAGTAACAAGGATAGAAGCAAGGAAACCAGCACTAAGTTATGCCTCACAAAAGTATAGTTAGATGTGCACCTGCTGTAAAAATATAATTTAAAGAAGGGCTCAAAATCACATTTTTCTTCACAGGAACCTGGCGGGTCTTTTGCTGCTCTGGCCAAACACAATTTCATCTCCACATAAGCCAGGGATTCAGGTGCTTGATCCTTTTCAGTGCTACTGTACCAGTCACTTGTTGATGTAAGTCAAATATTATTCCTATATTAGCACATAAAACAACTTAAATACAAGAGTTTACCTATTTCAGTATCCTCAGGGCTGAAGGACGACCCCACTGAGCCACTTGTGGTGAACCTCACTGTGCCTGACCCAGCAGCCCTTGTCCATGCATTGCCCTTTCAGTGACAGTGGATCATGAGTGAGTACATGCTGGAGGTGGTGCCCAGAAGCTCCACAGCCCTGCTTGCCTCAAGCCATGGCACTTTTTCACTGAGTTCAGTGTGGGCATGGGGAGCCAGGTGACAGGAATGCCAGAGGCTTCAAGATCCACCACTACATCCAAGAGGCAGAGCTGCTGTGATCACGTGTGTTCCCATCTGTCATTGTTGTTTGGCCCTACTCATCTGTCTCTCTTCTGAGTTTTGTACAAATGGGACAAAATTTGTTTGTTTCTTTGAGCAAATTTAGTTTGTTTCTTTGACCAAATCTTTCATGTACTTCTGTGCATTTTGTGTGTGCCTGTTATGGTGGCTATGGACCTCTGGTTTCTGTAAGCCACCTTGAAGGGCTGCAGAGCCCTGCCTCAGCCCTGCTCATAGCTTGCTTATCCTGAGGAACTTCTTTTCAAAGGGTTTACTGGACACAAATAAAATAAAACTTTCAAAGTTAAAGTCTATTCCTTTAATTTCAGGATTATCACTAATTTGAGCTACTACTTTCCAAAACTGGAAGAACAAACTTCTGGCAGTGCATTTGATGAGTGGTGTAGAAAAATGCAGATTGTGCCCTTCATTTGAAGAAGCCTTCTTGTCTGAATAGAGCACTGTATTTCACATCCTAATAGCCATTTATTAGCACAGGATTCAAGGAAAGTTAGCTTTTCAGTTCTGTATAAGCCTTTCTATTCATTGAGGTTTCATGAGGTAGCCAAGTGATTTTTCTACCACTGGCTGATTCCCAGCCACTCTAATGAGCAAATGTTCCTCGTGAGACTCAGCTCTCCCCTTGCACGTGATGATTCACTGGTCACCCAGTGAATTTAATTTTTAACTGGACTGAAATAATTTTACCATTCTACAAGTCCTTGAACAACCCAATCCAAGTGGACCTGCTTCAGCCAGATGTGCTCCTAATGTCCCTGCA